TGCCTTCGCAGTTGATCCTGGACATATCGAGATGTCAGCAATAGCTACAATCATCCCACCCTGTAAGGGATCCCCAAAGGACCTACATTGGACCTACATCACAGTAGGCTCGTTTCATCTGGAAGTTGTGAGCTCGCCGGCACTGAATTTTGAACCCTCTGGACATAACATGTCGGATGAGGCGGATGCTTGGTGCAACCCGTGGGGAGGGTTGCATTATTCCTCATATGCGGCATGTTTCGTCGCCGCTTGACTCGCTCAGCTCGTTGGTTTTTCCCCATGGCATTTGCGGTTCACGCCACCTTGAAGTCGAGAGAGCACATGGCCGAGCCCCTCCAAATCTGCCGAGCGGTTCACGTGTAAAGGATTTGAGGTCAGTTTGCTCAGCAACAAAAGAAGCACAGCACGGTGTTCAGTGAATTTGCCCCAAAAAACACAGGTTCGTGTGGGTGTGTGTTTCTCACAGGGTACTTTTTTTCTTTTTTAATTCCGGAGAATTTAAGGGACACCAAAGACACACCCAGGATGTTCTGTGGAGGGATGGAGTCAACCCGCTGCCAGAAGCCTCAGACTGCTCCGCTCTCTGCTCGGGGCTTCTGCCAATCGCTCGAACCGGGCTCACTTGACCTTTGAAGCGGGGAGGAGTCAACTTTTCGGATTCGATGGCGCCGACCTCCAAAGGGGCCTCCTTGCAAAGCGCCCAGAAACTTGCCTCCAAATGGTAAATTTCAAATCATGCAAGGCTATAACAATAAAACAATTCTGAGTTCAAAAGAAGTAAGATTGTAAGTTCAATAGCACCAAGTTAAATATGTTTTGTTTTTTTTAAATCAGAGTTCCATATACAGCCTATGGCAGGAATTGGGGGGGTTGACCTTGGGGAGGGCGGGAGGCAGAGCCTTGGCCAGGCTGTCACCTTTCTGCTTGTGCTTGGGGTTGGAACCTATTCCCCAGCCCAATCAAGGTTTGTACCTGACGGATCAAGCAACGAGGTCCACAAGGTTTCGAACAATTCTGGAAATGGGCTTCGGGCCCCCTTTTGGTGTACCTGGAAAAGAATCGGAGCCGCCCCCTGCTGTGGGCTTCGGGGTTGTGGGTTTCACACCACCCAAGGGGTACTTGAATTCTCTTCGCATCTTGGTGCAGTTTTAATGGGGTCCACACCCGAAACAAAGTCATGGTCTTCCTGTCTCCCTAGTGTGCCAACTTGGGGCCAGTGAGCTGAGTGCGGAGGCTGGCTGCCGAAACAGGGAGTAATCAAACACATTTTAACTAAATAGGGTCATTCGCATGGGCGTGTCTTTTTGCGAGGCTACATGTTTGGATGCTTCAACTGGAACGCCAAAGGGACCCATGTTGTGGTTCCCGAAGTAACCCAAGTAGATGCATGGACCAAGAGTCCAGTTGCACCTCCCCTTCAAGGGCCACTCCCGGCCGTGAAACGGTCCACGAATCCGCGCCTGGCGAGACGATCCACGACCCAGGTGCCTCACCCCAAAAGACTTCTTCTTGTGGGCTAGGTCCTCCAGTGAGGTTAGAATAAGGGCACCCACTTTTTTCGGTTTTGTCTATTTTAGTAGGGGAACCCTCCCAACCAAAAAAGGGGTGAGAAAGGGCACTACTGGAAAACCCAGTGGGTGACCCGTTCTATGGGTTCTAACAAATGGGTTCCTTTCGGATGCTACATACTTTTCTTCGGTGCAAGCGATTGGAATCCGTTTACTACAACCCGTTCAAACCCGTTGCTCCCCCTGATTCTTGGCCCAAAACAGGATCAGAAACTCACTCGAGACTGGCCGAAACAAGACCGCCTCATGTACTTTCCAACTCAACGCATCTCTCAATTCATATGGAACCTGACATTCGTTTTAGGGGGTCCTGAAAGATACCTTCGTTTTAAAGGAACCCCCTGTCAGGTTCCACGTCGATTGGGCGCCCCCAAAAACTCGGCCCGTGGACCAGCAGCTGTGGTTCCCCCAGGTTCCACGGCTTAATTCGTGAACGAGACAGCAGCGACTCAATTGGCTTCCATGTGGCTCCCATGCTCATCTCTATATGAAACCCGCAAAACTTTCGGGAGAAGTTCGCAAAAGGAAGTCCTTGCGGGCTACTTTTTGGCACATGCCTCGTATCTCCAGCAGAGTTGGTTTCAATTAAACACCTGCAAAAAGTACCGCTCCAGTCCCACATATCAAGTCCACCAAGGCGTGTCGCGGATTCAAGGCGTACAGCAAACCTGCGTGGAGATTGAGAAAAGGCTTTAAAAAACAGCGCGCAAAACCTAGTTGCCTCTGTCATTGTGTTTCGGGCCCCTTTTTTTTCCTTTCTTAAAAAATACATTTTTTGCTTTGCAGCGAAACCAAAAGGATAGGTACCTTTTTGGCGGGATCCCCTCCCATTCTCACCTTTTCACGTTGCACACGCTTGTCTGGGTGCCGAAAACCGCCACCCCGACTCCTCCGAGGCTGTAGCTGCATGCTTTTCAGGAGTCCTTTCCAGAAACCCACGGAGGCACCAGGCAAGGGTAAATGGACACAAATGGTATGGAACATGAATCAACCCAATGTTCCATGTCTAAATAATAATCTAACCATAGAGAACTCTGCTTTTCAGCACCTTTGAAACGGCTGAATGTTCACTAATTGCCTTGAAGGAACGTACTCCCAGAGAAGGAGTAATGGAAACCAAAGGGAAATCACAGATTTAGAGCAGTTCCATATCCCACTTGATTGAAGGCTTCTGAGAACCTCCAAAATAGAGATTTCATGGGGGCTGGGGGCAAGGGCCCAAATAAGGCCCAAAACAGGGGTTTATGAAGGGCTATCCCCTCCCCTCCCCTCCCCTCCCCAGGCCCCATATTGAATAGTTCTCCACCGTCATTTTTCGGAGGCCGGACCCCTCATTTGATCTGAATTACAAGGCAAACACTCATAGGTGTCCTTTTTGGGAAAGTAGATGGCCCTGGCTGATTGAACCACCAGGCAAACCAGGAATCGCCTTCTATTTTTTAAACCAAACCAAAAAGGACGCCTCTGCCAACCATCCTCGGCTCGCACGAAAAGCGGCCCCGGACCTCGCCTCGGCGATCTTCGCCTACGGGGGAAGGGTCAAAACCACCCCCTCATGACCCCCAGATTCTCCTCTCGAACTGGACCGAGCAAAAGGTGACCCAAAATTGTATTAGGTTTTTGACACCCATACATATCCCATACATTCTGGGGGCGCGGTGGGGGGGGGTCCCCAATTTCATTCCAGTAACCCCCGTGAACAAGGACCATGGAACCGCAAATTCGGGTTTTTGTTCGGGTCTCTGCCAATTCCATTAAGGGGTACCCGCTGGTTGCCAGCCGTTGGAATACGTTCCAGGTCCCACAGCTTGATGGGCAGAGGGTACCGTCAACAGCCGAACTGCGCTTTCCTCAAAATGCATGATACACATTCATTTGCCAATCCTGTCCACTTTCCTTCAATTATATCGTGATACTAGAGCCATCCTCAAATCATGACCAGCCAGGTTTCCGAGACCTCAAATAATGACCACTGAGCGCGTAGTCAACCAACACCAACTCCATCCCAAACAAATCCGCGGCAAACGTTCACTTCAAACAAGGGAGAGCCATGACTACAAACAAAGAAAACAACAGCCCCAAACTCAACCGTTCCTACATAGCGATCTTGAAAACCTAGCCCAAATCAATCCCACAGAGTACTTGAGGTGGAAAAAGAAACATTTCGGGGGTCCCCGATATGCTCCGCTCAAAAAGCCAGCTCAACCCCAAGAGCTCAAGCAGAGCTGCCCTGGCCAAACTGCGCAAAACTACCATCCGAACGAAAAACGTGACAGCCCTCAAAATTAGTTGCACTGCGCCTGCGTTGTTTTCTTCTTCTTAACAAAAACCGGCCCTAATAAATTACTCTACCAAATGAGGGAGTACTTGAGGAGGGAGTTTTTCCTGGGCGGGGGGGTTGTCGAAATATTGACATGTTGCAGCCTCCCACCAAAACAAAAGGCATGTCCAACCCCACAATACTAAACCAAATGGAGTTTCAACAGCAAAACTAAATCAAATGGAAACTCCAATGAAGCAATACTAATTCAAACGGAAAGCAAGTCCAGGTCCCATCCAGAAATATGACAATTGGAAACTTAAATCCCTCAAATCCAATTTCAAAAGAACCTCCACCGATGCTAAATCAAATGGAAACTCAAACTTGGCGCCAGCAATACTTCCCGATTCTAAATGACTTGATTGGGCGGGATCGCCTTTTCCAGGGCGATCCATTGACAAAAAGTGGATCAAAGGTCAGCGTTACAAACACGAAACACCACAGGTGCTTTCCTGGATGACACCCTAGAAACCGCCAGAAAGCCGAACGCGCAACTTCTGGGCTGAAATCCAAAGGCCTTAAAGGTTAAGGTACCGTGTAGAGTCGCGATTTGCAGTAACCCTTGCAGAGTGCCCAGGTGGTAGGCTCGGTGTTTCCTTCTTTCCTTCTTTCTTTCTGGTTTTTTGGGGGGGGCAACCAAAGGAAGAACGAGATCTCGTTCCACATGTGTGAGTGTCCGTTAAAAACTGGGTCCTCCAGTAGAAAGGATAGAACAAGGGTACCCTTTTTTCCGCTAGTCTATTTTAGTAGGGGAACCCTCCCCTACTAAAAAGGGGGTGAGAAAGGGCACCTGGGGACCATAGGTGCCCTTTTAGGGGAATAGATGGGTTTCCCTGGCAGATGATTAACAAAACCATCTATTTTTCGACCAAAACAACCAAAAAGGACGGTAGAAATGACCCTTTCTAGAAAACCAGAAAACCAAAACAACAAACAAAACAGAAGGACAGCTAAAACAACCAAAACAACCCACAAACAACCAAAACACCAACCAAACCAAAATCTAAAACAACAAACAACCAACAACCAAAACACCAACCAAACCAAAATCTAAAGCAACAAAAGGAGAGATTTCTATGACCACACCCCAAATTTCAAATCGCCGGCTTTGCCTAGCGCGGGGGCATCGGCTCCAGGCGCCGCGGGGTGTGCAGAGCGCCTGCGCCCGGGACGCGAAGCGATGGCCAACGGCCGCGTCGGAGGTCTTTTGCTCGGACACCTCGTTGAAACCAAAGGAACATCGGAGAAAAACCTCCGATTTTTTTTTTTTTTTTTACCCAGACGCTCCCAACTCATGTTTCGGGCCCTCGGGCCCTCGCGGGCCCTCACGGGCCCTCGGGCTGGTTGGGGGGGGGGGGACTAAGGCTCGTGGCAACATAGCGCAGATTGGAGAAAGCAAATAGATAGTCTAGATACCGGACACTTAATCTGAACTTAGTAATTATCTACTGTTTCGTTTACTAGGAAGAGATAAAGACAGATAAACATAACAAATAATAAAAGATCAAACAAGTAGATAAGACAATAAATAGAAAACAAGATAACAACACACAGTTAAAACAGCAGAATTGATGTAAATAACTTGCAAAGAGCTTGCCCTTCAGCAGAAGAAACGTTGCAGCCGGGTGAATCAAAAAATGCAACTTTCGAGCTGGAATTGTGGAAGTGTCAAGCACTGTTCTCTCGCTACAGCGTTACAAGAGCCCCCGTTACATACCTCCGTACCAAGGTTCGCGCCGCGTCGGGCTTTGCATGCCCCTTAAAAACCATAGCCATGTATAATCATAACCCGAACAATGGCATCATCCTGGCGCAATACAATGTGGACCTGGTACAATAAAATGCGCGTCTGAGAACCCACAAGCATAATAAAAATAACGGGGAAGGCCTGGCTTTGCAAAGAAGAGGTTTGGAGGGGCCGCGTTTTCCATTTAGTTTGGGCTGATGGTTCTAGCTTCATTTAACCCGCTTTTCCATCTAGTTTGGGTTGGTGGTTTGGAGGGCCGGTTTTGCATTCGTTTGGGTTGCTGGTTTGGAGGGGGCAATTATTTCATTTAGTTTGGGTTGGTAGTTTGGAGGGGCCCGCTGTTTTCATTTGGTTTGGGTTGCTGGTTTGGAGGGGCCGCTTGTTTCATTAGTTTTGGGTTGTTTGTGTGGAGGGGCCGCTTGTTCTATTTACTTTTGCGTGGTGGTTCTAGTTTCACTTAATTGTCGTTGGTGGTTTGGTCGGAGGGGTCCGCTTTTCCATTTGCTGGTTTGGAGAGGCCGTTTTTGACATTGTGTTTGGGTTGGTAGTTAGGAGGCCATTTAGTTTGGGTTGCTGGTTTGGAGTTTGGAGGGGCCGTTTGTTTCATTTAGTTTGGGTTGGTAGTTTGGAGGGGCCGCTTTTTTAATTTAGTTTGGGTTGCTGGTTTGGAGGGGCCGCTTGTTTCATTTAGTTTCGTTTGGTTGCGTGGAGGGGCCGTTTTTTCTATTTGGTTTGGGTTGGTAGTTTGGAGGGGGCCGTTTTTCCATTGGTTTGGGTTGCTGGCTTGGTTGGGTTGGTTGTGTGGAGGGGCATTTTTTTCCAATTAGTTTGGGTTGATAGTTCTAGTTTTATTTAATTTGTGTTGGTGGTTTGGAGGGGCCGGTTTTCTATTAGGCTTGGTTCCTGGTTTGGAGGGGCCGCTTGTTTCATTGAGTTTGGGTTGGTTGTTTGGAGGGGCCGCTTGTTTCATTTAGTTTTTGTTGGTTGTTTGGAGGGGCCGCTTGTTTCATTTAGTTTGGGTTGGTAGAAGCTACGCAAGCTGGGTCGCTCAATTCATGCTTCTTTACTTGCGAATTTTGGAAGAAACCAACTATAGGTCAACATCCAGGGCCCCTCGAATCTGAGTTCCTGGGCTGGGGAGATTGAAAGACCGACAAAAAGGTCAAAAACCCGGGTTGTGAAATCCTAGTTCCTGATTTGGGGAGACCAACAAAGTTCAAAACGCTGAAAACCCCGGGTCCCCTAAAGTGATGTGATGTGTCTTTACTTGGGGAGTTCAAAATCCCGGGTCCCGAAAGTGATGTTCCGCCGGGTGTTTCTTTACTTGGGGAGTTCAAAATCCCGGGAAAGTGATGTTCCGCCAGGTGTTTCTTTACTTGGGGAGTTCAAAATCCCGGGTCCCGAAAGTGATGTTCTTTACTTGGGGAGTTCAAAAAGTTCAAACCCCAAAGTGATGTTTCTTTACTTGGGGAATTCAAAAAGTTCAAAATCCTGGTTCCCCAACGTGATGTTTCTGCACTTGGGGAATTCAAACAAATTATCCTGGGTCCCCAACGTGATGTTTCTGTATACTTGGAGAGTTCAAACAATTCAAAAATTCAAAATCCCGGGTCCCAAAAGTGATGTTTCTTTACACGGGGAGTTCAAACAGTTCAAATGCCGTTTTTTTTGCGCAGTTGGAGGGCCTGTCGCTGGCCTGCTTGGTTGGGGCATTGGGGTTTCCTAGGGAGGGTCCGGGGCCCTCCCTCCTGAAAGGACCCGCCTGTTTGTCGGATACGGGGCCTTGTGGGCCCCTAGTGCAATCCGGACGGGATCAATGGATCGCTGATCGACCAAAATGGCCTCGAATCACACCTCCCCTATCCGACGGCTATCCGACGGTTATCCGACGGCTATCCGACGGTTATCCGACGGTTATCCGACGGTTATCCGACGGTATCCGACGGTATCCGACGCCGGGCCCTCGTAGACCCTCAGTTTTGGGGGCCCCGGCCCAATTATCCGACGGTTATCCGACGGCTATCCGACGGCCATCCGACGGCCATCCGACGGCTATCCGACGGCCATCCGACGGTTATCCGACGGTTATCCGATGGTAATCCGAAGCTTGTTTGCAGCCCAAGGCCCCCAACAAAAAACCAGCCCGAAACCTCCTACGACCGCGAGGGCCCGCGAGGGCCCAAGGGCCCGAAACATGAGTTGGGAGCGTCTGGGAGTAGAGTTTCTATTTTGTTTGTGTGTGTGGCTGCCATGCTTTTTGTGCAGTTGGATTTTTTCTAGGCCTGTCACTGGCCTGCTTGGTCGGGCTGCTGATTCTCTTGAAGTGGGATGTTTGTAGTAGGGCTGTGTGGATGTCGCTTTCTTGGCGCAGTTGCTTTTCTTCAGGGCCTGTCGCTGGCCTGCTTGGTCCGGCTGTGGCCTGCATGGCCCGCCTGATGACCCGCATGTCCTGCCCACCGCCCACCGCCCACCGCCCACCACCCTGCGTGAGGCAACAGCTCTTCGCAAGCAAGATTGCCAACAACATCTGCAGAAAACAGGCAGGCAAAGACAACAACCAAATTAGAAACCAGAAAAAAGCACTTTGCGAAAAGCAGCAGCCCAACCAAGCAGGCCAGCAACAGACCCTGAACAAAAAAGCGGCAGCCGCGGACAACAAGCAATTAGCAACTCTTACTTAAAAAATCAAAAAAACTTTACGAAAAACAGCAGACCAGGCGCTTCAGTGACAGGCCCTGAACAAAATCCAACTGCGCAACAACAAAAAATGGCAGCCACACACAACAAACAAAGCAGCAGCTGTACTAAAAAAGACAAGACCGCGAAAAGCAGCAGCCCGACCAAGCAGGCCAGCGACAGGCCCTGAAACAAAAACAACTGCACCAAAAAAGCGGCATCCACACACAAAAAGCAAATTAGAAGTCCTACTACAAAAATCCAACTTCACGAAAATTAGCAGCCTGACTAAGCAGGCCAGTGACAGCATGCACAAAAAGCATGGCAGCCACGCACAACAAGCAAATTGGAAGCTCTACTAAATAAATCCAACTTCACGAAAAGCAGCAGCCCAAGCAAGCAGGCCAGTGACAGGCCCTGAGCAAAAATCCAACTGCACAAAAAACATGGCAGCCACACACAACAAGCAAATTAGAAGCTTTACTAAACAAATCCAACTTCACGAAAAGCGACGAAAAGCAGCAGCCCGACCAAGCAAGCCAGTGACAGGCCCCTATAAAAACAACAACTACACAAAAAAGAACGCGGCAGCCACACGCAACAAGCAAACTAGAAGCTCTCGGGAAAAATCCCACTTCACAAAAAGCAGCAGGCCGACCAGGCAGGCAAGTGACAGGCCCTGAACAAAATCCAACTGCACCAAAAAAGTGGCATTCAAACACAACAAGCAAATTCGAAGCCCTACAACAAATACCACTTCGCTAAAATCACCAGCCCGACCGAGCAGGCCAGTGACAGGCCCTGAAACAAATCCAACTTCACCAAAAAACGGCAGCCACAGACAGCAAGCAAAAAACAATAATCTCTATACTGAAAAACATCACGAAAAGCAGCAGGCCGACCAAGCAGGCCAGTGACAGGCCCTGAAGAAAAACCCAACTGAGAAACAAAGCGGCAGCCACAAAGAAACCCAATGGAAACAAAACACTTCACGAAAAGCAGCAGGCAGACCAAGCAAGCCAGTGACAGGCCTTGAAAAGAACCAACTGCACAACAACCAAAAAAAAACGGCAGCCACACAGAACAAGCAAACTAGAAGCCCTTCGGAAAAATATTGCTTCACGAAAAGCAGCAGCCGGACCAAGCAGGCCAGCGACAGGCCCTGAAGAAAAGCAACTGCGCCAAGAAAGCGACATCCACACAGCCCTACTACAAACATCCCACTTCAAGAGAATCAGCAGCCCGACCAAGCAGGCCAGTGACAGGCCTAGAAAAAATCCAACTGCACAAAAAGCATGGCAGCCACACACAACAAACAAAATAGAAACTCTACTGCCAGACGCTCCCAACTCATGTTTCGGGCCCTTGGGCCCTCGCGGGCCCTCGCGGTTGTAGGAGGTTTCGGGCTGGTTTTTTGTTGGACCTTTGGGCTGCAAACAAGCTTCGGATTACCAACGGATAACCGTCGGATAACCGTCGGATGGCCGTCGGATAGCCGTCGGATAACTGTCGGATGGCCGTCGGATAGCCGTCGGATGACCGTCGGATAATTGGGCCTGGGCCCCCAAAACTGAGTGTCTACGAGGGCCCGGCGTCGGATAACCGTCGGATAACCGTCGGATAGTAATGCTAGGAGAAGTGTGATTCGAGGCCATTTTGGTTCCATCCATCCCGTCCGGATTGCACTGG